GGCAGGCGGACTCTCAACCCCTGCGCCACCGGGGAAGCCCCAGACTTATTTTAAGGTCCAAGATAATTCAACCTATTTACACATTTGCATAGAGAAGCCCAGGTCTTTACAATAGCTCCTTATACCCTATATAATCTGCCCTACCCCCTTACCTCTCAGACTTCTACTATTTTTACCCTCTTCCTTCTGCTCCACATACACTGACTTCCCCGCTGTAGCCAAACATGCCAGGCACATTCTCACTGTCAACCCTTTGCCCCAGCTGCTCCCTCTGCCTGGAATACTCTTCCCTAGGCATCCACAAAACTAACCTCTTCACCTCCTTCAAATCTCTGCTCAAACATCACTTTCTCAATAATGCTTGTCCTGTTCATCTTACTTAACATTGTGACTCTTCCTACTCTTGATCCCCCTTACTCTTTTTCCCTATAACATTTATTACCTTCCAACATCCTATATAAATTTTCTCAGGTATGATGTTTATTGTCCATTTCTCATCTAGAATGTAAGCCTCATGAGGGAGGAACCTCCTGTCTTTTTTGTTCCCTGCTTATCCCCAATGTCTGGAAAAATGATTAGCACATTGTAGGTGGACAGTAAATACTTTTGAATTAATGAACATTTCTATGATCTGCTTGCTCACTGTTCAATGAGGAACCACTGATATGTTTCAAAATCATGTGATATGTTTCAAAATCATGTGATATGTTTCAAAAGTCAAACTTCCTCCTCAGAGACAGGAAGCCTGTCATCTACCAAAAACCAACCAACCAAACAAAGAAAAAAAAAACCCTGGGAAAACAGCCTTCAAACATCAATTCTCGTTTCCCAATCTCCAGCAAAAAGATTGTTTTTTCTAAGTAATACAAATGGATAAAACTGCAATTTCAAACACACACAAGAAAAAAAGGAATATATGAAGATTTTAGTGATAGTATTCTGAGTTTTACTGAAGCATTAAAAAAAAAAAAAGCTAGCTGGATGTCAAAGAGGCTCAATCAGAAAGTGGAACCCAGAGGGTAGGATTTCCTGTTGGACTTTTAAGTAACTCATCCTACTAGGGCGACGGCGTCCATACAAGGGCCGAATGCCAAGCAAATACATCTGTAAAGCTGTTTTTTCAGGTGCGAAAGCCTACCCTCCTCCCAGGTTCACCCCCGGCTCTGCCGACCTGAAGCGTTTCATCAGTTAAGTGAAAACACACAGCTGCTTCCCATCAGTGAAGGAAGGTTCGCGGCTCTACCTGGACATTCCACCTGTTATCCAAGTGCAAGGAACTGAAGTATAAATTCTGTGCCTTGTCAGCTCGGCTGCTAAAGTCTAAATGGGTAATTCATAGTCTTTACTATCCGTAAGAATTAATTATCCCCCCTCCCGGGTATCGCCCCCCTCGACACCTGTTCGGGGACCCCACGGTCAGGACGAAAAACCTCACTCACTTTGGCCCTGCCCTCCTTAGAGCGCAAAGACGGGTCGCGTTCGCGTGCTACGCAGCGTTTTGAGACTCTCGTGGCTTGCGCCCGTTTTGTGGGCTTTTGGTACCTAGCTGCCCGAAGGCGGACTTCGCCCCGGGCTGTTTGCGGACGCTGCACGGCCGCACCGGGCCGGGAAAGGAGTCGGAGAAGGTGCCCAGCCCCAAGCTCGGGGGTGAGCGCGGCCCTTCGTGAGGCAACTACTCGGCTATAAGTTCCTCAGCCGCACCCGCCGGGGCGGAGCTGGGGCTGGAGCTCGGGCTCGGCGCAACCATTGCCCGCGGAGCAGTGGGGGGGTGGAGGGGACCGACAAACACCACGGTCCTAACGCGAGCGCTGACGCCCATCCTGTGGGTTCGTTCTTCCTCTCGGAAGGCTCCCTTGTCCTGCCGTGCCACCGAAAAGCCCGGCCCTCTCCATCTCCTGCGCGTCCGTCTCCCCCCGCCTCTCGTGGTGCGGTCCAGACCGCGGGTCACGCGGCGGCGGGGGCGTGGTCTGCTCTGAGCTCAGGTGGTACCTCGTGCGGCCTCTTCTGGCGTCTTTTGCAGCGGCGTTCGCGGCAGGAGCGATGCTTTGTTGGAGTCGCTTAACCTTCGTCTTAATGAGCGTGACCGTCACCTGCTCGGTGGCGCAGCACGTGCCACCGGTGGGTGAGCTGGAGGCGAGGGCGCGGAGAGGGGCGCGCGGGAGCACGGGGAAGTGGGGTGCTCAGGTGCGGGGCCGGCGGGGTTTGAGGGGCACCTAGTCCCGGCGGCATCTTTACAGGGGTCGGTGTTTTCCTGAGAAAAGGTGTGGGTGCAGAGCGGGCTGGCGAATTTCACCCCGGGTTGGTTCGGTACAAGCTGGAACAAGGAAACTTTCTGGGGAAATCCTGATCTCTGCGGATTGGTGATTATGATTTGCATACCCTCACGTTGGATGGATTGCATCTGTTCTACCAGTACCAGCCTCGAGCATCCAGAACTGTAAGAGAAAAAGTTCCAGTTGATTTGTGTACATGATTAAGTGACGAATTTCCTGAGGACTTTGGCATCCTCTGCCTGGTGACGAGGTGCTGAAGGAAAAGTATTAGCTAGGGATTCTGAGGGCCCTGGGAAAGGGTGAGGCATCCCCAGTCAGGGCAATGGGAGCAGCCCAGGCCAACCTAGATGTGGATGCCTGGCCTTTATCTCCGAGTCACGTGAACACTGGGCCTGTGGCTATTTTCCCTTGAGGGAAGTAGCAGGAACACAGACTTGATAACTACAAGAGACAATGAGGGACCAGTTTCACTCTTACTTTGCAAGGGAGGAAGTTGATTTCGAGTGAGAAAATGTCTAGAAGCATGACTGAACTCAGGCCTCTGGACACCCTGTCTGGTGGTCTTGCATAATTCTCTTCTTTAAAAGCAATAAGACTGCATTGTTCTTATCAACAGATCAGATAAATGGGAACTTGGGTACATGTGACCTAAGACTAGGTGAGGATGTTTTTGAATAGTTTAGGTAGAACATTGACTTGGGAGCAAGATGTGCATTCTCCTCTTTTATTCTTTTATTTCTCTATGGAGAAAAGCTTTAAGAGTAAGATCATGGTGAGATATTACTCAGCCATTCAAAATTGATACGAGATAAAGCAAGTAAAAGTGGAATACAAAATAGTATACACAGCGATTTCAGTAACAGAAAAATACACAGTATATACATGTGGGTGAGGATTGGAAGGGTATAAGGAAAAATAAAATTAGTCTGCTCTAGTGTGGGTAGGAAATTAATTTGCTTTAAAGTGGTTGGGATTATGGGAATTTTTAAAGAATTTTATACTTTGATACTGTCAATGCTTTCAGCCAAAGACCCCAGGAAACACACCTGTAGTTGAAGAAATTGGGTTTATTATTTTGGAGTGAGTGAGAATGCATGCCATGGGCAACTGTGGGTCCTCTCAGTAAAAGGGCATTAGGAAAAACCTGTTTTATAATTTGGACTTTGTGTGTTTCAGGGGCAGGTCTAAGGAATCGGGGGTTTGCTGTAGATTGGTTGCTTTTAGAAAGTGAGGCAACACTATGGGTAAAGAAGAAACAGTTATTTGTTTAGCAAGAGAAAGAGGTGTTTGGTGTTTTGCGTGTTACACGTACCTTTGTTTTTGTCTGTGCTTAGAGTCATGAAGTGGCCTTGCTTTGTCTCATTTGATCATGTCTCAGATTAACCTTCACTGAGGTGGGTATTCTGTGAGTTGTGTCTAACAAGAGAACAGAAACGGCCTGGCTTTTGAGTGTCAGATCAGCAAGTGATAATACTGAGAGGTCTAGTTGTGGACCTCAGAACAGTTTCATATATCAGTGTCTGCCTTTTATTTTTGTTCTCAGTACTTTATTTTTTCAAGCAAAAGTACTTTAAAAGGTATTTGTAGAACAGGAAAAATCAACAGCCCCTCCATGAATTTAATAGTTCTTATCTGGAATAGTGGTTGTCAAATTCTAGTCTGGCCTCTGGTGTCAGTTTGGGAAGCTGCTTCCACAAGTCTTTAATGAAATGAGAAAAATGAGGCCTTGAAATTATTAATTTAGAATGTTAGCTTTTATTCTGATTATGACCTTCCAATTTTTGTTGTTAAAATGTTCTTTTATGTGTGTGAGTTGTTTTGTTTGTTTTAACATCTTCACTTTGGAGAACAAAAACTGGGACTCCTCTGTGCTGGGCTCCTCAGTTTTTTAACTGATCTGGAAAGCCTGGGGGCCACTGGCTGACAGGATTTTGGGAACTTCACAGAAGTTCAGTGACCTCATCCTTTGATAAGAATAAGCATTTTTTTTCATTTTGAATTGTTCAGTGATAAACTGTAGCCACACATAGTAACAAAATATATTTCAAAACTACTTTTGATAAATATGATAGTGGGAACTGGCATTAAATTACAAACAAAAATCATTGGATTTGGAATGTCTGTGGATTTTGTTCTGTTTTGTTTTTGAGGCACTTCAGACTATGGCATATTTTAAGGTCTTCTTCAGTTATTTGATTCTATTAAGAGATGGTGGTGACAAGCTATCCCACTTCTGGGTATTTATCCAAAGAGAATGAAAACACTAATTTGAAAAGGTATCTGCACCCCCATGTTCATTGCAGCATTATTTACAAGAGCCAAGATGTGGAAACAACCTAAGTGCCCATTAATGGATGAATGGATAAAGAAGATGTGATTCTCACTCTCACACACACACACACACCACACACAATGGAATACTAGTCAGCCATAAAAAAAAGATGAAATCTCGCCATATGTAACAACATGTATGGATATTGAAAGTATTATGCTGGGTGAAATAAATCAGACGGAGAAAGATACCATATCTGTCTAATAAACGAACAAACCAAACAAAAACAAACATGTAGATACAGAGAACAGCAGTGTAGTGGTTATCAGAGGGAAAGGGGCAGAGGGAGGGTGAAATGAGTAAAGGGGATCAATTATATCATGATGGATGGAAACTAAAATTTTGGTGGTAAGCACACTGTAGTGTAGACAGAAGTAGAAATATAATGTATACTGGAAACTTATGTTATAAACCAATATTATGTCAATAAAAAATAAATTTAAAAAATATTTTAAAAAGAGAGATGGTGGTGACAGAAGTGGTGCAAGAAAATCTGGAGAGGGAGAAGGAGATGGAGATGACATCATCCAGGGCTCTGTAGACCTTGATAAGGATTTGGGGATTCATCCTAAAAACAACGGGAAGCTGTTGACTGGTTTTAAACAAGATGTGATAAATATCTCACTTTCAAAATAACAGTTTGGATTGGAAGGGAGCAAGGGTGGATATGAGGAGACTAGTCCAGGGGTGACTTACAGGAGGGTTATGCTAGTGGAAAAGGAAAGAAATGGGTGGTTCCAGAGAAGATTGAGAGGTAGAATGAGAAGAAGGAGGGGTTGGATGGGGATGAGGGACTGGCACCTTTCTGAAGTGCTCAGCTGGGAGAATAGTGGCATCACTACAGGAATATGAGGAGGGAAGAATGAAGATCATTTTTCACTCTGGTTATGTCGAATTTCAGATGGCACCAAGACATCCAGCAGACCTTTGGGACTGGAGCTCAGAAGAGGATATTGGAAGTTGTAGGCATATTATTTGAAGCCCACTGGAGTGAACAGTGACGAGATAGAAGAGAAGAAGAGGCTTAGTCAAAGGCTCAGGGGACATGCATGTGTCAGGTCAGGAAGAACTGGCAAAATTAAAGCAGCAGCCAGAACTCGAGAGCGAGTGTTAGGGACGCTCAGGGGAGAGAGGGACAGGTCACCTGTGTTGAATGCCATTGAGATGTCTCGTATCTGTTGTGCTTGGCACCTAGAGGTCATTGGTCACCTTGGCCAGAGCATGTTGGGAGCAGAAAATAGATTGTAGTAGCCTGTGGAGTCATCAGAAGGAAAGGAATCAGAGTAGGCGAGATGGCTGTTCTCAGTAATAAATCTAAGCAGATCCCTAAAATGTGTGAAAATTAAACACACTGGCTCAGTAGTGAATTACTGAATCGAACTTATTTTTATGCATCAGCTTTTCAAGTGAGTAATAACCTTGTTGACATTAGCCACTGAATCAGGTTTTAGCAATGATTTTTACAACGTTTTCCCAAATCACTTAAACCCCATCTGGCCTGGCCAGTTTTACTGTACTGCATTTGCTTTCTACCCAGTACTTTAAAGGAAGGAATACACAGATACCATATGTTTGCTTAGTCAACAAATACTGCACGCCTACTCTGAGCCCGACTGTTACAGATGCTGGGAACAGGTCAGTGAACAAGATAGAGAGGTTTTTGCCCTTATGGAGAGTTTGTTCACATTCCTTTTACCTAAATATTCTCAATTTAATAGGGTACCATTCCATCAAAGGTCAGAAAACAAGTGAAAAACTTTGCATGCTCATTTGAATTTGTTATATATGCAAGAAAACATGCCTTTTCTTATTCAAATGTGTCTTGAATATGTGTCTGCTCTGTCTTACATAGAGGACACTTTAAGTAACAAAACTTATTTAGAAAATAGTTGTCGGTGAATTAAAGAATTGAATTGAAATTGTCTTGCTGGACTTCCCTGGTTGGCGCAGTGATTAAGAATCCACCTGCCGGGCTTCCTTGGTGGCGCAGTGGTTGAGAGTCCGCCTGCCGATGCAGGGGGCACGGGTTTGTGCCCCAGTCCGGGAAGATCCCACATGCTGCGGAGCGGCTGGGCCCGTGAACCATGGCCGCTGACCCTGTGCGTCCAGAGCCTGTGCTCCGCAACGGGAGAGGCCACAACAGTGAGAGGCCCACGTACCACAAAAAAAAAAAAAAAAAAAAAAAAAAA